CACCCACCTGGTGTGGTACACAGGCAGGACACAAGGCAGGACAGTTTTTTGGAAACCAGTTTCTGACTCTTCCTCTTTCGTGGGGATCTTTCGCTAAAGCTGGTCCGTGGGCCATGAGACAGCATCCTGCTGCTTCACCCCAGTGCTTCAATCCTTTCCCACTTTAGAAAAACCAGTCTTTTACTGCCCTCCCACAACCTGAGCGCTGAAGCAATGGCAATGTTGTGGAAGAAAGGGCAACCGGCGTGAAGATCCACTCCCCCAAAGAAATGAGTGCTGTACCCGAACACCCTTCACTCCCCAACTCGGTTCCCAACCACTCGCATTTGTGCTTGTCCTGACTGAAAGAACCAAGTCATCCATCTAGGTATCATCACATAAGAGCACAGAACACGGGATCCGATCCATTAGCATGGTCTCATGTCCTTGCTTCCCTGCAATTGGAAACCTTGCGATCCTTTGAAGGAGGAGTGGGCGACTCCTGCTTCGATACAGTATCTACAGTACGCCTGGAAAAGCCATCAAAAGCCTGAAAGGTACTAGGGCTGTTTACCCCACATTCCTAGCTATCTGTTGCCCAATTAACATGATTAGCAGCTGAGAAAATACTGCCCACCCCCGTCAGAGATGAATCGACTCCCCCCCCCCCCACCACCACACACACACCCCAAACTGGGAAACAAAGGGAGAGGCAATCGTGTTTATGAAGTTATTGCAAACAAATGCGCTTCAAAAGGAACTGCGGTGACAGATTCCGCTTCACAGTGTCCGTCCTCCGTCCCACCATGACAGGCAGCCTCTGGGGACCCTTCCTCCAATTCTGCCAGGGTTTTTAGTCCTGGTCCTCAGCTGTAAGATGGAATGCAAGGTGCAGAAATATCCTAGCCTAGAGCCTAGACCACCAGCAGGGTCCAGCCAGTTGGTAGCTGTTGAACACTGGAAAACAGTCCCTGGCCTTGTCTTAGGTGTGTAAAGAACATTTGATGGCAAAGATTTAGTACAAAAAAAAAAAAAAAAAAAAAAAAAAAAAAAAAAAAAAAAAAAAAAAAAAAAGGAAGAAGAAAAGAAAAAAGAAAGAGGAAAATGAAAGAAAAAAGATGACTATTTTTTGAATTGATAAAACTTGCTGAGATGATATCTTGAATGTATTGGCTTTAAATACTTCATCAAAATGCATGTCACCTGTTTCTTTTTACTTAAAAAAAACTCCTATAGGACATTTAAAATGATGTGTGCCTCCCACTTGTGGCTGCTGTTATACTCCATTAGGCGGTCTGTCAGTCTAGACTGTGGGTTGAGCAGGCCTGGGGCAAAAGTCGGTGAGCATGTAGAAGCCTAGTTCTCGGTGGTAAAGGGAGTCGGAGAGATTTTAGGCTGGCAGTGACCCCTCTTGCTGAAAAGAGGTACGTCTGTGGCAAAGGCAGCATGTGGAGGCCAGGCTGACAGGCTGCAAACCTGCCTTCCTTCTGGTTCTAATACTTAACCTCAAAGGAACTTTAATATTTAAACCAAATGGCATGTGAGATTTCAGTAGGCTGATGTATTGCTCTCCGCTCAGCCATTTGAGAAATCCTACCGAGGCCTCCGCACAGCTGAACTCCAGGTGCTGCCACATCCCCGGTGGAAGTCTGGCTCGGCACTAATGAGCTGATGAAATTTTTTTCTCACTTGTTTGATATTAAATAGGAAAGCCTTTCGAATTAAACGTTTACAGATAGTGTGAAAATTGGAAGTGTGGGTTTCAGCTGAGCCAAGTACAACAGACCCGAAGGCTGCAGATGCCTGCTGCTGGGGAGAGGGTGCCGTGGGCTCCCCTGCCCTGCAAACGGAAGCGGAGCATTGCTGACTTCCTCCTTCCGGTCATAGGTCGTCCCGGCGCGGTGGTGGGCTCGCTCTGCTGAGGGTCAGGTCTGTCCTGAACATCTTGGTTTAACACAATGGGAACTCACTAGTTTAAGCCAAGAACTTGGTGCTTTCCCGTCCTGAGATTGGATTCCTTTGTTCTGTTTAGAAGCCAACGCCAGCCATGGTGTAAGGGTTCTGGATGGGGCCTCAGACAATGGCGGCAAGCGCTTTCTGAGCGCTGAGATAGCTCTTGCTTCATCTAAAGCGCTGTGTGACATAAAAGGCATGATGTTTGGTTTTGTTCTGTGTTGCTGTTGCCGGGGTGGGGGTGGGGTGCCCACACACCACGGTGAACAGTGTAAAGGCCAGAGGATAACTCCGTGGAGTCAGGTCTCTAACACCTTTATGTGGTTTCCCAGAATCAAACTCAGATCTTCAGGCTTGTGCCGCAAGCTCTTTACCCAATTAGCCATTTCATCACACGCAAACCCGACCACCTGTGTGCTTCCCTTTGTTTTCTTTTCAAGTTGTTCTGGGTTATAGAGAAAGAGGCGGAGACAACTATTAACCCAGCCGGACAGACCTGAACCCGGAACTCGTGTATTGGTGTGAAGACTGAGCCGGGAGGACCATCTCTACAGCATCCAGCAGGAACAGCAAAATGACAAATAAGACTCGTAGTCACTCAGAGGATGGGAGCAACAGGAGGGCCTGAGACAATCGGAAGGTACTTGGTTTGAGGTAAGATGGACCACTCTTGATCTCTAGTGATCTTTCAGAGGTCAGTAGGTCCTGGGTCAGGCTGGCGGCCACGTGCTCTAGAGACGACAACCTTACTTCCATTGAGAAGCCATCTTTGAGTGAGATCATTTAAACTGATTGATGTACAAATGGACGTTTGAAATGAAGCCCAGACCTCCAGGAACTCAGCCATGTCTGTCCCCACAGTGTAGCCCTGGGGTACTACACTTACACACACACACACACACACACACACACACACACACACACAGCTGGTTGGTCAAACATATTGATGTAAAAACATATTGAAAGATCAGAAGTTCAGCATCATTTTAGGCTACATAGTGAGTCCAAGGACACACTGGGATACACGAAACCCCGTTCTTTAAAAGAAAGAAAATAATCGCTCCATGCGTGAGGTAAAGGAAGGATCTTACCTCACTGGCCACCTTGTGTGAACTGCAACCCTCCTTGTGTGAGCTGCACCCGCTCCTTGAACCTCTTGCGAAAAGCTGCTTAACCTTCCCCATGGCACCAGGTGGGCCATGGCAAGGTTTCAGGAAAGGAAACAGAGCTGCAAGGAAGCAATTGGGGAACTCAGAGGGGGAGCAAGGGTGTATGCAGGCCCTGCTTACAAAAGCTGAGTGTGACATCCAGCTAGTCCTGCAGGCTCATCTCTTCTGGGAAGCAAGGAATGAATTCTCACCCCTGCCACCATTACCTCCTTTTATCCCATGAGAACAGTACTTGAACCTCTGGAGTTCTCAGAGAAGGGAGAGTTTTAAAACTCAGTATTTTAGGGCTAGTATGATGGTCTGATGGGTAAGAGCACCTACCATACACACCTGACAACCAGAGTTCAGTCCCAGAACCCACATAGATGTGGAAGAATTGTCCTTTGGCCTCCACACTAATGTCATGCATGATACATGTGCTCCTTCCCCACACATACCACACACACACACACACACACACCAGCAATGAAATTTTGGAAAGAAATCACATTTTTTATAGAAAGCCACATCTAAATAGGGATAGTAAGAGTGACACTGGGGGCCAGGTAGTGGTGGCACACGCCTTTAATTCCAGCCCTTGGGAGGCAGAGGCAGGCAGATCTGTGAGTTCAAGGCCAACCTGGTCTACAAGAGCTAGTTCCAGGACAGGATCCAAAGCTACAGAGAAACCCTGTCTTGAAAACAAAAAGTGGCCATTGGAGAAGGAGTTAGTGTGAGAGACTCTTCTCTACTGAGATGCCTTAAGGGAAGAAAGACTCTTCCTACTTCTTCACCTGAACCAGGCAGTCGTACCTTATGCCCAATTACAACACGAGGCATTTGCTTTGATGTGTCTCCTGTACAGCACCTTGCTCAAGACCCTCGAAGCTGTAAAGACAAATACACAGGAAGCATGAGGATATGGCTTCTGATTTGAAGGGCCTGTTAGGAGTTGAGGTGTTGAAACTGGAACCATTGGGACAGTCAGGAAGTTCCTGCCATCTCCCCAGGGCAAGTGTGTGGCCATTAAGACTGCACATGCTTATACTTCCAGGTTTCTGATGAAAGCAAAATAGGCGAGGACCTGAAAGAGAGCCTGAAGCTCCTCTTCTCTTGGGGTGCACACACCTGCCTCTTCTTAGTTTCTCCAGGACCTGTTTCCTTTTTACAGGTATTATTAAACCTGCTGGACCTGTCACGTCTTTCTTTTTTTTCTGCTAGCTAGAGTCTCTTCATTGTCTTGCTAACCCTCAAAGTGTTAACTTCCAAACAACCCCCTGGGCTTGATGCACATAGGATAGGGAAAACTGTGTGAGCCTGGTGTCAGCATGCTACGCTGGACACATTCCTTAATGTGTGTCAACTCTGCAGCTCACTCAACTTTTCCAGATGTGGCTGGCTGGGCTGCCGAGCTGGTGACACTGCAGATGGATGGCCATGGCCCCACTGCTGGCGGACGAGCATGGCACCTTTGATGTGACGGGGTGACTCTTCTCATCTCTTAGCCAGAAGGAAAAGCTATTTTCTTCTGCAGAGTTCTCTGCCTTCCCTCCTCCAGGAGACCATATAGTCGTCAGCGTACAGGAGCTGAGAGCTCAGGTTCTCACTGCGGTGTGTAGCCAGCAATCTCTGGGAGGCAGGATGGATATTAAGGAGGGCTTTCAGAAAGGGATCTCTTAAAAGAGGCTCTGTCTACACACACACACACACACACACACACACACACACACACACACACACTTATGATTTCTCCATAAAGTTTATCACACACAAGAAATAGTCTCTTCATCAGTTTGTGTCGTAAGCACACAAAATAAGGCACCCGTGTCCCTTGCAACCATGCATCTTTTACCATTCCATCCTGTGTGCAGAAGTCTCTCCCTTCTACCACAATAGAAAGTTAAGATTGAAATTTAAAGAAAAGAAAAATGTCTTTATCTTTCTTCTTTCAAAGAGAAATCGTAAAATGGGGGGGATACATAGAATTTTCTTTTTCGGCAGCATAAGATGGGTTTAAGACTTTTTTGTTTTTAGTTTTGAGGTGTATCATGGACTTAATTGCAAGGAAGCTTCTTGCCTAATCCAAAACCCATGAGATTCACATAGTTAAACAAATTAAAACCAAATGACATGTTCAAAACTGCAGGGAAATGATCGTAATGCCCAGGTGGAGAAGGCTGGGAAAGGAGTCTGCACATTTAGTTCAAGCTATTAAAGAGTCTGTGGGCCGCACTGGGGCCCTTGCGTGTGAGAAGTCAAAGTGTTTCTCCCCACGACCCTCCTGTGTGTGGTGGGAGGAAACAGCTCATCTTGGGCCTTTGCAGACTTCTCCAGCTGCTCTCAACGCTCACTCAGTACCGTTAGGCAACTCGCTTTCTTCTCCTCCGCTCCGGATTCTCTGAACACACCAAGCATCTTTTGCTCCTCCTCCAGTCCAGTATCCAGCTGTGGTTCTGCATTCTATACGAGCATCTGTGCTGTACCACTTCAGGATCAAGAGGGGCTTGTAAAAGTCCCCAGTAACTCCAAGTCAAGAGGGTGGCCCTGGGAGCTGAGGATGTCCTTGATCAGGAGAGGGCTTGTCCTGCATGCAGAAGACACCAGGGTCAATCTTCAGGGCCACACAAATGAGACGTGGTAGTGCGTACCTATAGTCCTAGCACTCAGGAGGCACAGGCAAGAGGATCAAAAAAGTCCAAAGTCATCCTTGGCTACAGAGTGAGTTCGAGATCAGTCAAGGATAAGGAAGTCCTCACTCTCTAAAACAAACAAGTAGGGATGGTAAAATGTCAGTAAGGATGTCTGAAAAAGCTGTAAGGAATCACACTATTAACTATCTACCTAAAAATACACATGTTAGTATTAACTATCTACCTAAACATACACATAACTTAGTATTAACTATCTACCTATAATACACATAACTTAGTATTAACTATCTACCTAAAATACACATAAGTTAGTATTAACTATCTACCTATAATACACATAACTTAGTATTAACTATCTACCTAAAAATACACATAAGTTAGTATTAACTATCTACCTATAATACACATAAGTTAGTAGTAGTTAAGTGTACATGTAGAGTTTAAATGAAATTTTTCCATCTGGACTAACAATGAACCTTCCAAGAGTCAAAGACCACTTCACAAAAACCCCAGCACTGGGCATGGGACAGTCTCTTCAGAGGTGTTGGTCAGGGTTGCCCAAGACACTCCTGAAACATTTCAAGCTATTGGTACTGCCCTTGGTTGCCACCCCAACCCCCTAAAGGTGGAAAGGAAGTCCCTATTGCTGAAGTCACCATGCACTTCAGACACAGGGCCCAGAGGGCCCCGAACTAGATCTGACCTGAATGGTTCCTCCCAGAGGACTAGCTTTTATGGTACCAGAATGCTTTACAAACTTCCAAAGTGGGAAGCAACCAATAATTATACCTAGTCACGACACTTGTGAACCTCAGCAACAACTTGCATGGCACGATGACCCTAAGGCTATAGTAATGGCACACATACCTTGGTGGTAACCGAGAGCTCTCTCATTGGACTTATGATCCACTCAATACGAGGGAATTCATGCCTGACATAGGAGACCTAGCCAACCACCCAGGGCTGGTGAAGTCAAAGATTTTAGAAGGGAATCTACAACCACGCTTTACTAAACCAGCATAAGTTCTAGTGACAACTAAATATCTCCTCTTTTACTCACAATTAAGTGTGGTTCTCACCCCTCCTCAAGGATATTTCCTCTTGCAACAGAGACCATCTCAGAAAACCACAACCAACCAAAATGCAAGGTTATGGAGCCTAGCTCCAAGCAAGACACTCCACAACTAAGGTTCAAGGAACATTGCGGAAGAGGAGGTAGCAAGATTGTCAGAGGGAGTTTGCCATGAGACCGTGTCTCCTCGGAATGTCAGGAGCTACATCTATAAAGTCTCCATATGACCTAAACCTGAGCTGCAGAATGACAGTAGATGCTCATATAGACGAGGGAGGGGGAAGCCCAGGAGACTTCAGTCAATACAAAGAACTACAGGCAACTAAGGAATCTAACAGTGGGAGAAAGTGGTGTCCACAGAAAAGGACACCAGCTGCTTATATCCAATACCAATGGTCAGCCCTGAAAACATACATACAAGTAACATTATACATAATATATGATAATATATAATATATTATAATATATAACACATACAAATAACATCATGCATTATATATTATAATACATGCAAGTAACATACATTATATATTGTTATACATATATATTGATATAATGTATAATGTTACTTGTATGTATATATAACATATAATATAGGCCAGGCGGTGGTGGCGCACGCCTTTAATCCCAGCACTCGGGAGGCAGAGGCAGGAGGATCTCAGTGAGTTCGAGACCAGCCTGGTCTACAAGAGCTAGTTCCAGGACAGGCTCCAAAACCACAGAGAAACCCTGTCTCGAAAAACCAAAAAAAATATATATATATATAATATAATATATTATAATAATATATGGTATATAGTGTATAATGTTACTTGTATGTATGTACAATATGTAATATGTATTATAATAATATATAATGTATAATGTTACTTGTATGTAATGTAACATTGAAAAAGCAAAGGGTTAATATATATTATATAATATATACAATTATATATTGAGAAGGTTGTGTTTAATTTAGGTGTGTGTATATGTGAGTGTATGTGTATGTGTGTACAACAGCAATTAATGAAAAAAGAAGCCATGAACTTGAAAAGAGCCAGGAGGGGTATATGGGAAGGTTTGGGGGACAAAAGGTAAGGGGAAATGATATAATTATATTCCAATCTTAAAAACTAAAAGAAATAAACTGTGACATCACATTAGTCTTGGTTTGAGGTATACTCCATTATTGAATAGTTGGGAGCGTTATTGAGCTTTGGTTTTCGCATCTGGAAAACAGGATTAATGCTCACTTTGCCAAGACATGGTGAGCGGAGACCACACATGTAAAGCCACAGCAGAATACTCTCCTCATAATCGGCTCCCCATCTTCACAGCCGTTTGTGACAGCACAATGGATTTCTTTTTTCTTTTAGTTCCAGACAAAGTGCGGGAGGCTGGTTGTCAATGGGCCTACAGGAGTTTGTTCCTTCAGAAGGTATAGTGAGAGGCAACTGTAAGACTCCCATGGCCTAGCCAGGCAATGGTGGCGCACACCTTTAATCCCAGCACTCGGGAGGCAGAGGCAGGCGGATCTCTGTGAGTTTGAGACCAGCCTGGTCTACAGAGCTAGTTCCAGGACAGGCTCCAAAGCTACAGAGAAACCCTGTCTCGAAAAACCAAAAAAAAACCAAAAAACAAAAAAACAAAAAACAGGCCCACAATGCAAATGAAGATCAGCAACAAGAATGGTTTGAGCCCGGTGCTCCTCTGCGCTAACGGAAAGGACTCCTCAGGTGGCTATTCTTCTCTCCACCCAGGAGCAGAAAGAGCCCTCACAGT